CCTCAATAATAGTCTAGCCACAACATTTGTACCGGTCGGCTAACAGTGCCGTGGTTTACAAAAATAGAATACAATGCGTTCATTTTCGCAAATAATTAGATTTATGAGTTGGTGCGCGGAGGATTTTGTTTATTCCAGTTTCAACTTTTAAACAACTTAGATGATCGACGTCTCAGATTAGATCAGATAAATTTCTTATTTCTATACAGTAGCTGGAAACTCAGAATATGTTTAAATACGTATATTCTTAGTGTAAACGTTGAGCGATAAATTAAGGTTAATTACGAAATTCATTCCGGACTATAAAAACAACAACCATGCTTGTATCCCTGTATGTGTTAGAGAGGTGTATCAACAAGACCGTCAAACAATTAGGCTGCGTTCACACCGCAGGTGACAGGCAAAGTGCCTAGTGGTTCTATGAGTGCTATGAATCATACTAACGACGAATTACGAAGACGGAAAGTCTTGGCACGTTGACTGTGCTTCGCTTATCGTCAGATAACATTTATTTTTACCCTAGATAAAAAAAATGGATGACCAATTGTTTGAGAAGCCATTCATGAAACCCTTTTTTTTCGAGAACTTTTTTTATTTCCAATCAAATTACGGCAATTACGGTTCATTATTTGCCCTAGCAAAATTACTAGCCTCCAAATAATTACACGAATATTTACTAGCAGAGGACGTGTCAGCGATATTAACATGCCTTATGCGGTGTGATCGCAGCGATACGCATCACAGTTTTCAATAAAATCATGCCATGTTCACCACAGACATCAACCTGACTATTGACGTGTGAGGACCTACAGTTTGGCGGTGTCATTCGCTGTGCAGGGCCTGGCGAACCTGCAACACGTCATTGTTGTTAGCACCGACTAGAAATCGTGATTAATCTCAAAAATGTTCAGTAGGATTATCGACCAATCATCATTTCGGCGTAGATAGGGAAAGTGTTAAGCGTCAGAAAACTGTTCGAAACTTATTGCTTCGAAACTTGCCCGTGTCTATACTCGTATGATAAATGGCTATAATTTATCATCTAAGATCCTAAAAGCAAACTAGTACATAGTCCCCATAATTCCTGAAACAGTTTTGATGTTATTTTTAATTGGCATTTACATTTGTAAATTATCTCTTGCATACTCGTAGATAGTGCGGGTATTATTAAATGTATAGGTAAATACTTCTAGGATGCGAGAATAAAACAATTTCAACAAACAATTTTGTTATTTTTTAGGCGCGAAATCATTTATGTACAAATAAATCGGAACAAAATTGACATAACGCGAGTTTTTTTAACCTTTCAGTCCTGGATAAATAGGCCTTGACCAAGTTTCGGATACGCCCAGTTACCCTACTTTACTTTAGGGGATGGGCCCTTACAAGGCCCTAATTGATCTCTATTAAAGCTGAAAGGTTATCATATTTCATTAATCTTACTTAAATTACACAGTCTCACATATTACTATACTCCATTTTTATTTTTGTTTATTATATTAGTAAGCATCTACTTTTCAATGCAGCATCGCCAGCAGGGAGCCGAAGAACCAGTACTATGGTAGCAACAACGCTATGACCGGTTTTAACCGAACGAAGTCTTGGAAGGCTGGACTTTTGCGAGTTCACCATCTCGCAGAAAGAGGCGATGGAGTAAGAGAGACAGAACGCTTTTCTCTTTGCACCCATGATCCCAGAACGGTGTAGAGTTTATGCCCAGTTTCAATGCGTATAGGAAACAGTCTCTCTCGGTGACGGTTCTACCGGCCAGAGCAATCAAGACCATAGAGTTGATTTTACAAAGCACTCGGTTGGCTATGTATCAGGCTCAGACTTGGCAGGCTCGTTCTGCCAGCAGGGTGGGTATCTTGCCGATCGTGAAGGGCGGCGCCGAATTATTTATGTCCACAATTCGGTCGGTCAGCCGTCCTTGGGTGGCTGGTTCCATTGTTAACCGCAGTCACCCCTTCTGCCTCTCCCAATTCTGTCCCGTACGGGATTAAGACGTTCGAGCGAAAGTGCAAGGGAGTCGCTTCGTTACTTCGAGAGTCCCACATGCGTATGCATCCCGAAGTAACAGACGCCCCTTAGGGTGCTTGTTTACCGGAGCGGAGCAAGGCAGCGGAGCGGAAAAACGGAGAAATATCGACCAATAAGATTGCACAAAATCATTTTGCAATCTTATGATTTTGATTTATATCTATATTTCTCCGTTTCTCCACTCCGCTCCGGTGGACAAGCACCCTTAGGCAAGGAGATTTCTTAGGAAATTCGGTCCGGGAACTATGAATATAACGAACCTGCTTTTAAAGTTAATATAAAAGAACTCTTAAGAGTCCGCACGGGCAGGTACCACCACCCCGCCTATTTCGGCCGTGAAGCAGTAATGCGTTTCGGTTTGAAGGGCAGGGCAGCCGTTGTAACTATACTGAGATCTTAGAACTAATATCTCAAGGTGGGTGGCGCATTTACGTTGTAGATGTCTATGGGCTCCAGTAACCACTTAACACCAGGTGGGCTGTGAGCTCGTCCACCCATCTAAGCAATAAAAAAACAAAAGAATAATATAGAATTTAAAAGGGAAAAAAGTGCAACAGATCTAAACTGCAAAATTTAGCTGAATATAAATCATTGATTTTAATAAACTCTTATCTTATCAGAACAGAACCAATTATATTTGTAATGTGGAAAATAAATAAATATTCTTCACTGTATAAATGCATAAACTGTATAAAAAAAAAAGATAAATTCTGATGATATTTATAACAACTTCGACGCGTCACTTGAGACAGAAATCAACTGAGGCAGTCTGGGGCAAGATGAAGCTTTAGTGCTGACCACATCCCTTCACGTCAGTCTACTCCTACGTGATGTCGAACCGACGATCTTGGGCTTCCACTGGGTTTGCCGTTATAGTCATTTTGTACTTACTTTCCGGTTACAAATCTATGTAACAAGTGCCTACCCATCAGTGGAGTGTTTGTTCGTAAACAGAATAAACTAAGCTAATAAAATCCAAACGAAACTCAAACAGATACGGTTGTTTATTTAGGATCCGTAAACATCTATTTCATCCTACCTTTGCTGATAGCCTTGAGAGGCTATATCAGCTTCTCCTTGACGTGTAGGTGAGCTCACGGGGCTCAAACTGTAGTGTTACTAGCACTGGCCCTAGCAAGAGCAGTGCTTCTCAGAATCTACCACCGGATCGGAAACCCACTGAGAAGATCCGACGACAAACTCAGTGGGTTGTGTCTATGGGTTAATTCACTCGTCGAGCCCTTTGTCGCAAGCGAGGGGTTCGACGAGGATGGTGACCGGTGCTTGTGGTACCTAAAAGCACCGTTAATGGATCAGGCGGATTCGTAATAGCGTGTTTAGGGCAAGATATCTAATTAACTGTTTTTCGAATAGATAGTCAAAAGATAAACTCCAAAAAAAGTCAGCGCAAAACTTTCATTTAGTTCTAAGTTGAAAAAATATTTACCTCATCATCTGCATATCTACAAATACATGTAAGATATCAAGCCCAATCAAATTGCAATTAAAAATGTAATGAACATCAAAAACTAACTGCCTAACCAACTTTCAAAGCAACTACTCATATTGGTTCTAACAATAAGTCCTATTTAACTTATATCTATTTTTACTAAAAAAAAAACACCTAAAGCATAAGTGTTTCTTAAAAATCTATAAATTATTGAATCTATAATAAAACTGATAATATTGAATACAATACGATCATCATTTCACTATAGCATAACAAAAGGGAAACCATTCACCAATGGGCGCATGCAAGCGGTCGTAAATTTTATAATTACCTTGTGAACCATATTGCCTGTTGCCTTCTAACATAAAACACGTTTTAAAGCGGACATACTCTTCTTAATGGACTCTAAAACTTAATTAATATACATTGTGAAATGATACATGGATATAACGTAGATATAGTAAAAATTCGATAGTGTTAGAATCTTACGATCCCTTTTTTTAGTCAGTAATTGTCTATAATCAAAAAATCAAATATTTCAACCGGGCTGTGTATGCAAAAAGTAATATAACATAGTGAAGTTACACATTATTAACCAGCACAATAGATTTTTATGAGACAATTGAAACTATTCCTTAATATTGATACAACTGAATAATGAACGAGTAATACAATAATTACATATAGGTACATACGAAATGGGGTCAATTTCGAGGACTGTATCTAGTTAGTGTGTATGTGAAATTTTATTAATTATGTGTCAACTATGTCTATATAGGCCTATGTCCAGCAGTGGGCAGATAAAGGCTGATGATGATGATGATGATGATGTGTCACCTGTATTTTTTTTATAATTAGCGGTAAGGCCTCATAAATATTTCTTATACCTAATTTATCCCAAAACCATTCTGCGTCCCGTTAAGATGGATAGTTGCGATTTAAGTCCGGATTCTGAATAAGTTTTGGGTTCAAATTTCCTGACCTTACATGTCAAGGTGTGTAACAGCATTTTTGCCGTGGTATCTTGGGATTGATAAATGTGTAACCCCTAGTAGAACACAATTCTAATATTAGCATAGATTCCAAATGTAAGTTCAGTTTTCATACGTAGCTTTTGATTTCCTTAAATGTAACTAGTAGAAGAAAATCTTTAAGTTCACACGTCAAAACACACGCGTTAAACACATTGCCTAGATATGCTATGGACATACGTTGCCCTGATGGAAAAAGGACACTGTTGTAATGGACATCAACAATGACAAAGTCAAAACTGGGCTATACTGCTTACCGTACACATGATTAGTCGGCGTAAATATGTTGACAAATAGCAATTTTCAAAGATCAAAGTGGAGGTGAATCTTATAATTTTGAATATTTAATAATGGAATGATTATATTCCGAAAATTACCCAACAAAAACGTGACATGTTGTTTTGACAACTTATACGCCTCTGTTAGAATATAATGGTCTTCCCCTAAAGATTCGTTCTAAGAAAATATTTGACAATTACCTGAAAGTCCTCCATATATCGAAGCACATTACGTTTAGCCAGAAGAAAGTTGTTTGAAACGCGTAGTACACGAAAAAAGCTGAAACAATGAACGTTTATTAAAATACAGAACAAATAGATGCGGCGGTGAAAACGAGAAAAAAACCTGCCGAAGCCGATGGAGAGAAAGTGTGACACTTTAAATAGTTGCAATAGTTATATATCTTCTTCTTCTTCGTCGTTTCCTCATTACTGAGGGTCGTGACCACCTTGGTCCAGTTTTTGCACCAACTTCCTCCAATGTTGCCTGCACTCGGCCTGCTTAATGGCGCCCGGGACGCTGGTGTTTGTGGCCTCCTTGATAATGTCCGTCCACCGGGTTGGCAATCTTCCTCGACTTCTCTTTCCTTCCACGTAAGTATAGTTATATATACTTAGATGTAATCCTAAGATGTGTTATCGTAATTGTTTTTTATTATATATTATTTTTCTTCGACACATTTAAACGGCGAAAAAGATATTTTCTCATTCAGCGAGACCCATATTCCGACCTACTTACTTATACACTTACTATTTATAAAGTAGTCGAACTGAAGAGCTGAAAACCTGCCCAAGTAAACAAATCGTTCGTTTATAAATACGAAAATTCTGAGGCCGATATTGCAACTTGCTTTTTGAAAACGTGTTGACAACCAAACCAACAAACGGCTCGTTTCTCAGGATGAATGATTTTTTTCTTAAATCAATATTACATCAATAACATTTATGTTCGCGTTTATTGAGAAATATCGAATGGTTCGAAGACGTTTCAATGTTACCTCGGGCTATTTGTGATCTAAAAGTTCTAAAAGAATGAAAGTCAACAATTTAAACTTTTCTCACAATTTAAAGATATTGTTGATATTGTGTTAAACATCACAAAGATTTAAATCAATCATTATTATCCAAAAAAACATTAAAGACGGCTAAAAGTAGGTACTTCCATGAAAATAAACAGCATTTAATCATCATGATTGCATAACAAGGGTTCAATTTGTCAGTCATCAATTAATTTATGATGATAAATAGGTGGGCGGGCAAAGACTCAGCCAGAAGGAGACATTTTATTTCGCTTACAGATTATGGGGTAGAGTCTGCCGAGAAGAAACGCGGCACGGTCGCGGACTGATTTTATACGGGGGTGGAATGTTTTCCTAGAGTTCGCCGTGCAACCTAACTTATGAATCAGCTCGCTGAGTTTCTCGCCGGATCTTCTCAGCGGGTCGCGATTCCGATCCGGTAATAGATTCATCGCGAAGCAGCTGCTCTTGAGCTATTAGGTCTCCTTCGGAGGCGCTCGGGTAGCTGTTAGAAAATCCCACCCCTCCTGGCTGAGCCTTTGCTCGCCCACCTGTCCTGGTGAAACTGGAAAGGCCTCCGGGCCACCAGTAATCCTTCAATCATAAAAACAGGGTACAGTAAATGGTTTAAGGCAGAAATAGCGGTACCCAACCGTACGGGATCGTAATATGTTCCATCAACGTAAATATATGGCGCGGTATGCTATTCCAGGCCGAAACAATAAACTACTACGTAAAAGAGGTTTTTTTTTTTTGTAATTCTCCTTCTTTATAAGTCCTTGAGTATTGCTATTGGTGTGATGATAATATATCTATTCTGTCTGCGTCCTCTCTACTTCTGTTCGTTTGGGTTTGTGCTGTAAAAGGGATGTAAATCGGTACGCAAAAACCAGTCATACGTGATGTGGTAAGAAATGAAGTGGAACTCTACCTAGTGGAATAAGTACAAATGTAAATATTCATTTCAATTTGTAGCAATTCACCTACGAAGCAATGCAGTTAATTTAAAGTTCAATATCGTTGGCCCTAATTTCATTAGAATCGATTAAATAATTTGGAACGTACGGTTTTCTACTTATCAACAATTAAAATTTGATTTATTTTTAGACTTAGCTTCCTGCATACTAATTTCATATTGGGTAGGTATTTGGTTCAGACGAAGTATTTCTTTGGCACACGAATATCTCGTCGAACGTACGCAGTTCTGTAATTACAGTTTATTTTTAAGATTCGATAAATATGAAAAAAAAATTATGGGGGCTCGTAAATTTATCAAAGTTAATTGCTTCGCTTCTTTAGTTTAAGTTAATGCTTGTCTGTCGTTCACCATGTGCTCACAAACCATATCGAAGATGAATTGAATAACATTGTGAAATGTATCATCATCATCATCATCATCAGCCTTTATCTGTCCACTGCTGGAATGGATGAATTCGCGTAAATGTTTGGTAGTAAACCGGGGTGAGGTCGCACTGGTATGTACCACCATCCTTTTATGCCTATATTTGCTGTGAAGATCTCGTGCTTTCGGTTTGAAGGACGCCAAATCTATTAAACAATGTGACTGAGATTTTGACTTCATATGTGTAGGTCGGTGATTAAAGTCACGATGTGTGCCGCAAATAGATTCCGGTAACTAAATATGAGCGAGTGATTGGTGGGCTATTGTACCCGTCTAGTGCTAAAAATGAACAAATGCCCTTTGAATTACTAATTTCCGATTACATTTTTTTTTATTGCTTAGATGGGTGGACGAGCTCACAGCTCACTTGGCGTTAAGTGGTTACTGGAGCCCATAGACATCCACAACGTAAATGCGCCACCCACCTTGAGATGTAAGTTCAAAGGTCTCAGTATAGTTACAACGGCTGCCCCACCCTTCAAACCGAAACGCATTACTGCTTCACGGCAGAAATAGGCAGGGCGGTGGTACCCACCCGCGCGGACTCACAAGAGGTCCTACCACCAGTAAAAAAATTATGTTAGTATATGATAAAATATTTCATGAGGACTGCAGAATTTACGACTCACAATAAATATTTGGCGAATGTCGACATAAACCTTACAGATGTCAATGTCAGATGGCTACATATACGGGCAAAATAAAATACTCTAGAAAATAGGTGCTTTTAGGTAGGTACCTCAAGCATGGCTCGGCGTGTAAATTAACCCATAGACACAGTCCACTGAGTTTCTCGCCGGATCTTCTCAAAGGATCGCGTTTCCAATCCGATGATAGATTCTGTTAAGAACTGTTCATGCTAGGGCCAGTGTTATACTCAACACCTCCGGTTTGAAGCCCAAGAGCTCACCTACACGCTAGAGTAACCCTGAAATATCCTCTCAAGGGTATCAGCAAAGGTAGAAAAAAATATAGAAAATGAAATGGGGAAAATCTATGCCTTTATATTGTTAGAGACACGAGTCTGCGTATTTATAGTACGTAGCTAAACTAGATCATATTGACATAATTCGACTAATTTATTGATAAAAATCAATAAATACAATTCACTTTCCTAAGAACGAACGGAACTTCGAACAGTGAAAGTGTGTCACTTCTTTCATCTTGGTCGCGGTGTGACGTTTTTTATTTATTGTCTAAACACAATAAACAATCTTGACGGACACGTGGACCGCATTTAAAAAAATCTAATATTTACTGAATATAAGCCGTACCATACGCAATATTGTGAAATAAATGGAGAATGAGGAAAAACACATTACGCTTTTCATTACAAGATTCGTGGTTAGCGCATCTGTTTAGTTATATTGTTTTTTAAGCTGCTTACGATGCGTCGATTTGTGTCTTTATGAGTTTTATTAGTCGGTATAACATTTAAAATTCTATCCTTTCTGCTTCATAGAAGATAAAAGACAAATTTAAGTTTTGCATCTATAATCTTAAGAGTCTATCCAAAACTTGATTACGATAATTATTAAGTACTAGCTGACCCGGCAGACTTCGTAGTGCCTCAATCGATAAATAAAAGACACATCAAAGGAAAAACAAAATTGTTTGTTTTTTTATAATTCCGAGCTTTTTTATATTTTCTCACCTTTTAAACCTTCCCTGGACATCCACGAATAATTCAAGACCAAAATTAGCCAAATCGGTCTAGCCGTTCTCGAGTTTTAGCAAGACTAACGAACAGCAATTCATTTTTATATATATAGATTGGAAAAGGCGAATTAAGATTGCACTAAAATAAGCGCGAAATTGAACTGCAACTGTCTGTAATTGTCCACGGGTGTTGAAAATATTCTGCCTTAATCGATAAATAAAAGACACAAACCAAAGGAATCCGTCCGACGGGGGGACATCAAAGGGAAAACAAAATTGTTATATTTATTTAATTCCGAGAATTTTCATATGTATCTACCTTTTAAACCTTCTCTGGACTTCCACGAATGATTCAAGACCAAAATTAGCCAAATCGGTCCAGCCGTCGCGAGTTTTAGCGAGACTAACGAACAGCAATTCATTTATATATATATAAATAACGATTTACATAATGTTTTAGAGTCGATAAAACCAGTAGAAGTATTTTTACATCAAGACCAAGGATTTTTCAATTATGTTTCGATACGAATCTCAGGTCTCTACCAAAAAGCCTATTAACTCAAACAATAATAATAACTAGTGGGCGGTCAATTTTATGACCTAACGATATTTCATTTAGCAATTTGTTAAATTAAGTGGGCTATTTTAGATTATTCTTTTGCTTGATTCCTTTCGGTATAAATCGATCTTTTCTTAATATTATGTAACCGTTGGAAATTGTAAAATTTTACGATTAATATAATACGGTTAATCTGTATGTTGAATCATTATAATAATATGTACATAGAAGTACACTTACTTGAATTAAATTTGGCAATCTATGTAAGATAAGGACATAAATATTATGGTACAAGACCGACTAAATCAAACCTGCAACGGAAGATCCCTTAAACAAGTTAGTATTTTTATTTAGTTATTATTAGTATTTTTTCCTACCTGATTATAATTACCGTTGGCCTCGAGGGGCCATTCTGGTTTAATCGAATTGGTATGCGAGCTCATGGTCATGGGGCTCAGTCTGAGACTTTGCTAACAACGTCGTGGCCTAAAGTATGAGACGTCCCGGCGTTAGGTACCTCCCGCCGCGAGGTACGAATTTTTTTAATGAAATACGTAGGTAGGAAATAGTATAGGGTCCAGAAAGAATGAGATGTGACGCCTGAAATCGCGGTGCAAACCTAGTAATTAATAATTTTCCATTAGAAACACGAAAAACACGCCCTACGGGTACTTTTAATTAAATTAATTAGCATCACACATTCGAGCTTATATAAAAATAATTAATTTAATGGTAGCATGGATTTCTATTTTTATGCTATACCAGTGGACCGACAGACGTTTTTCTGTATACAAGTAGTAAATCCGAAAATCAGTCTGCTTAGTGCGAGTTTTTTAACGTTCTCGATAGCGTAAACGTTAATTCAAATTTGTATGGAGTTGGAAGGTTTGCGTAAGTTTGCCGCTAGGGGCGCTGTTCCAACTGCATACAGATTCTAGTTACCTTTTACGCTATCGAGAACGTTATAAAACTCGCACTAAGCACACAGAAATCGTTTTAAAAAACAAAATCCAATATTATTTTTGTAGTGGACCAAATTGTGTATCTAAACCATTCTCGAATCCACTTGAACACACACTTTATTATCAAAATTGATCCAGCCATTAATAAATGTATTGAGTAACAATTGCGTCCAAATTAAAACGGTTAAAGTCTTTCTAGAACCTTCGCCAATCGTTCACAGTGGCGAAACGAAAAACTCTCAGGAACGTACTACGTCAGAAAATCGAACGAATAAAATCCACATTTTTAGGTTTGTTTATCTGTTCAATGTGTTCTCCTCATAACGCTTAAACATAAACAACGTTGAAACTTGTTGTTAGCACTCGGATAGGTTTCAATATGCTACCATCAATCGTGATAGATGGTACTTTTTAACCGACTTCAATAAAGGAGGAGGTCCTCAATTCAATTGTATGTTTTTTTATGTTTGTTACCTCATAACTTTTGACTGGCTGAATCGATTTTGTGTGATTCTTTTTTTATTAGAAAGCTGACGCTTCCCGTGTGGTCCCATTTCAATTTAGTCCAGTTCTGATAATGGTATCCATGAGAAAACCATGTAAGTCTTAAATTTGCATTAATAGTACGTGCGCGACAAATAGATGAATAATTCAATATCACGCCAACCGGTTTCGATGATTATTGTTTTTGATGTATATTAATTTGTTTTGGAATATCCTTTTTTTCCTATTTGAAGTCGGTTTTTGTTAAAGCATTTCTATTTACAATAATTATTTCTCAGGCTGTTTAACGAGATCACGGCCCGTCTGGTGTTAAGTGACATGCAACTAACTATACATACATATTTCGAATGCGTAGTGCCTGAGCTTTACTAGGATTAGAAATCAAAAAGATCTCCAATATCATTGGATATTGGAGATCTTCATTATTATTGGAGATCATAAATGAACTACACTAAATTTGGAGAAATAAAAAGCAATGTACTTAATGCCAATCGCGTTTAAATATCTGTTTTAATATTTTTTTCTAACCATTTTGGGAAACAATTGGCTAGTGTACACAATGTAACATGTATACTCGTATTGCACATTGTTCAGAATTAGAGTTAGGTCTGCTGCCTTCATCTTACATTATAATAATATATTCATGAAGTAAAATAAGAAGTTCCCAAAACAATTGATTGTTATGGGTTTGGTGTATATTCGACAGAAAGAGTTTCAACAGAGTTTTTTGTTTCACTTTATAGACGGATGAAAAAACTTACAGCCCACCTGGAATTAAGTGTTTAACATAGTCTACGGACATCACTACTCAATGTAGCCAACCACCGTGTCTATGTCTCAATCGAATAGTAATTACGTAAATCATACTTATTTTGCGGACTTCATTTTCAATACCGATATTTTTATTCTGATACTATTCCTTCACCGTGTAAGTTACGAACATAAGTTAATTGTTGTAGCTATCCTAAGGTACCCCGCTTTTACACAAGCCCTCACAAGTTGTCTCCACTTGACCCTGTCTTGCGCTTGCTCCTTGATATCACTTCTTAATGAGTCAATTAAGCATTATAATATAAATCTTATCACCACAGGATTCCCAGGATTTGATTGGGATTCCCCTTGTAATCGCAAAACTTGGTAGGTACGTGTGCTCCAAGATTCTTACCCACCAAGCTACGGAATTACGAATATTCAAATACAAATTACATATGTATACTTTTCTTTTTGTCACTCGTTCATTAACTTTTCAATTGTGTTATAAGATAAGCGTGCTAAGTTTTAATGAATACTCACCAGACACAATGCATCCTGTCATATTGGCTCCGATTCTGCCAACGTGCAGCTTCAGGTACGAAAGGAAGGGGTAGCCGACGATTAATCCCGCGCAATACGCCATCAGACACATGCCGTGTAGGTTCCTCAGCTCAGGGATCATGGCGTATACCAGGAACGTAGCGAGGAGAAAAGGCACGGACAGGAGAAGACCTAAAATACCGTTGTTAGATATCAATGATCATGCTTATGGCATATTCTTAGGACTACAAGAACTAATAGACAGACACAAAATCAATAACCTATCTATATGTATAAAAATGAATTGCTGTTCGTTAGTCTCGCTAATACTCGAGAACGGTTGGACCGATTTGGCTAATTTTGGTCTTGAATTATTTTTGGAAGTCCAGAGAAGGTTTAAAAGGTAGATAAATATGAAAATACTCGGAATTAAATAAAAATAACAATTTTGTTTTCCCTTTGATGTGTCCCCCGTCGGACGGATTTTTTTTTATTGCCTTTGTAGGCAGACGAGCATACGGCCCACCTGATGGTGAGTGGTTACCGTCGCCCATGGACTTCAGCAATGCCAGGGGCAGAGCCAAGCCGCTGCCTACCGCTATCGGATTCCTTTTGTTTGTTTTAAGTTTATTTTATACAAAAGTTTAGGTCTTTTATTTATCGACTAAGGCACTACGAAATATGCCGGGTCATCTAGTTGTGCAATAAATGAGTAATATGAGATTGTGACGGATTGATATTTTTCTTGAACTTTTTTATGTTTCCCGTAGGCAAAGGATTCGGCCTACGTCAGCAATGTTAGGGGATAAGGGGGCTGCTTAACAGTGAATACTCTTTGATAATTACTATCCATACAATTATTTACTCGTTTAGTTATCAATTTGTTTAATTTGCGTCGAGGTAAAGTGTCTGATTAGTATATGATGATAAGATGTTTGTATGTAAAAAATGATTATTTATTTTTTATGTGTACAATCGTATTATTATCATTATGTTATCGATATTTATATATTATATATAGGGTATATATCTATCGATCAATACACTGCCGTTAATTTTTTCTTAAGAAAATTCTTGTTCATGTGGCGGTTGTCTGAAAGACCGCCCATTGTGCATTTGTATTTACGATTTATTAAATTTTGTTTTGGTGCACAATAAAGTATACTCTACTTTAATATTGTAATACATAAATTCAATAGTGAATTTGTTTGTTACACTTTTACGTCTTACTCGATCGACCGTCATGAAACGTTGCCAGAAGTACAGAAAATAACAGAGAGTAGGTACATTTCATTACGAAAAAGGTAGAGTTTGTAAGGATTTTTTTTTTCTATAAAACTAAAGTAAAAGCAAATTTATTATTTAACAATTACGAAAATTGTTAAATAATAAATTAGCTTTTATTAACATATTCTACAAACGTTTTAAGACTAAAATACATTTTAAATTTTAACCCACTTTTATTTATACAGATACTAATCAAGCCTATTCACACTAGACTAAAACTGTCACTAACTCATTCAAAGACACCGATTATTTAAATTAAGCACGCGGTATCTATCATGCCTTGATGGTACTAAGACCTTCCCTAGAATGTTAAAAATGACTGCATCAATGTTCATCACAATTTTTTAAATGGTTCGGGAACGCATAGAGGACGTACGTAAAAACATTCACTTCTATTTAAATACAGCATAAATGTGAATAGCGGAATGTGATATTTGGCAATAAATTATATGTTTAAATAAAATTAAAAGATAATTAATAGTGGATAAGAGACATAAAAACTACAAAGTCGACCATAAACAATTAATTGTTGGCGGGCATCAAACAATCCGGACGGTCCGGACACTTTACGATTAGAATGACTGGCAGACTCAGAGCACCGTCATACTTTATTACCCATTAACTCGAACATCAACGAATAGGAATGAAAACAATTGATTAAATCTAATTAAATTTGGTGTGCCTTAATATTCTTGTAATAAAGCATCATTTTGTTTGGTACTTCGATGAACGTCCGAGCTCACAACCAAACAGATCTCTACCCGAAATTCTATACCTACGATAAAGGTGATAACAAGCAGTGTCGTTTATTTCAAAATCGCAAACTATCGGTGTAAAATAAATACTGCACGGGTCGATGAACTCGAGATCTCTTGTTTGCTGAGCGCGATGACGGTGTCTTAATAATAAAAAAAACCTTTACTAGTGGTAGGGCGTGCGTGCTCCATCGGTAAGTACCACTACCCTGTATATTTCTACCGAGATAGATTAACCGTTTTACTAGACAACTGAGCCTTAGACTCATGTTTGTCAAGTGGCGACATTAACGTTTTTGAAGTCTGTGGGTTTACGTAAGCAATAAAAAAATTCTAAACTTACCAACAGCATACGCGATGTATAGCGTGTAGTTGTCGTCGCTGCTAACGCTGTCAGGGTAGCAGACGGCAGCCACCAGGGAGGACGCAATCGAATTGTTGTATATTGACATGTCCACGCAATACCGACTTGATGGGTGCCATTGCGAACCGCCTTGGGCCACCTCGTACAGGGTTCCATTCTAAGAAAAAAATTAGGAAACCGAATTAATTATACAGTGTAACCTTAATGTAGGATTTGTAAGAATGATACGTATGAAAAGAGTGAAACGGAGCGTTAAGATGTGAGTGAGAGAAAACGGAACGAAAGGGAGAAGAGAATGACAGACAGAATGACAGAGAAAAGGAAGATGGCGAAGACGGTTAAAAAATGAGCAAGTGTAAAGTGTTAATAAATTTTTAAATTATTAATTATAACAGAAGATTTTGGAACAGTGGAAGTTTTATTTTATGCGCTGCGATCCCATTTCTACACTAATATACCTAACGAATCTCAATATGACGACGTTTAACAAATTCTTCGCTATACCCTTGAATTGTCCTTAAGAGTTAACGTAAAATATACCTTACATTGCGAAGATTTCTTGCGATCAAACTCTTTGTAACGAATTTTTAACTATAAAAAAAAGTGTAGATACCTCTAATTAACGAATTTTGTCAACCCAAAATCTTTATATAACGTTTCCACCAATATGACCTTCCACCTTCCACCTTAATCTCATAGTATGTAAATCAGTCTCGACAAGTTTGAGAAAAACTGTTACCTACCTAATTGTTTTTAAATAGAAAATACATACAGTAATTTGATAAAAACGTGTTATCATTTATTAGTAGAGGTTGTTCGCTATAACAAGATGAGTACGTAATGTTGAGGTGAATAAAACTGCTTTACCTCGTTATAATAAATGGTAGACCAACCTAATCTTAATATAACGGACCTCAGTTTACCGAATTACTTGATAAAATGAATATTTACTTGTTCCCTTTCGATTTGTTATATCGAGGTTGCACTGTATTTATTAGTCACAAACGAAGCACGACACTTATTGTATGAAGTCTTTGAATGGGGCACTCTTTGAATCGGGCACAGCCATCCTGTCGTCTTCTACCGCAAAATCATCATATGTATCTCCGCTATGCAATAGGATTGTGATTTCGACCTCATGTTTAAAAATGTAGTGCTATTGTAGTGGAAGGATGTTTTTTTTTTATTGCTTAGGTGGGTGGACGAGCTCACAGCCCACCTGGTGTGAAGTGGTTACTGGAGCCCATAGACATCTACAACGTAAATGCGCCACCCACCTTGAGATATAAGTTGTAAGGTCTCAGTATAGTCACAACGGCTGCCCGACCCTTCAAGCCGAAACGCATTACTGCTTCACGGCAGAAACAGGCCGGGTGGTGGTACCTACCCGTGCGGACTCATAAGAGGTCCTACCACCAGTGATTACGCAAATTATAATTTTGCGGGTTTTGATTTTTATTACACGATGTTATTCCTTCACCGTGGAAATCAATCGTGAACATTTGTTAAGTATGTATTTCATCAGAAAAATTGGTACTCGCCTGCGGGATTCGAACACCGGTGCATCGCTGTATACGAATGCACCGGACGTCTTATCCTTTAGGCCACGACGACTTAGAAGTCTTACGACTTAGGGCTGAAGGACAAAAGGGAATGCAATGTTGCTGACGAGAATGTCGAAGACAGAGCAAAGTGGAAGAGTAAAGTAAGGCAGCTGAGCCCACCACCATGTGGGATACATTGCTGGGAAGAGAGAGAGATAGAGAGTTTAAAGATAGGTAGAATTCACGTGGTGTCTTTAGCATCGCTAACAAATTAACGCCGTGTTTGTACACTGGCGACGACTTTCACTCATGCAAAAAAAAAGTTGTCTAAAGGATAAGATGGTTGTTTTATTGGCAGCATATTTAAATAATGTAGACTGGCTAATTTTTTTGATTTCATGAAACTTCCACGATGAAGAAAAAACATTTACTTAGTATCTTATATGCCAATCTTTTCTGAAAAACAATTTAAAAAATATTTAAGCACCCGTGTTTAAGAAGTTTCTACTAGACTAGATTACGGTGAGAGCTATAGTAGATATGTATTTGATTTTAAAACAACATTTTATTGTTCAGTTATTAAATGTAGGTATCAAAACCATAAAAATAAGATGTCGGTCACCCGCAAAAGAACGCTGTTTTAGCAAAGCATAAAGCCGAATGTTATAACTTTCATAAAAATAAAGAATTCATAAACATCAATAAACTGAAATTACGACTACCTACAGTTTTATGTAATCAATGACTGAAAAATTGTTTCATTGTTATTTTGGGCGTATTCGCCAAACTACGCAAAGCATTCACTTTTTTTTCCTACCTAAGCTGATGGTCTAGAGAGATCATATCAGCGTAACCTTAACTAGTAGGTGAGCTCACAGGACTCAAACCTGACGACGTTGCTAACACGAACTCTAGCAAGAGCCGTGCTTCGCAGAATCTACCACCAGATCGGAAACGCAACCCACTGAGAAGATCCGGCGAGAAACTCAGTGGGCTGTTTCTGTGGGTTAATTTACTCGTCGAGCCCTTCGTCGCCAGCGACGGATTCGACGAGAACGATGACCGGTGCTTGAGGTACCTAAAAGCACCGTTTGTGGATCGGGAGGATCCGAAATAACGTGTTTTGGGTGACATCGACTGCTTTCCATTCTGTCCGCAGGATCGGGAATGTAGTTAGGTACCGGAGCATCCACGAAATCTATGTCGCAACACGGTTTGACACAAAGCGCGCGAGCGACACATATTTCTTGGACTTAATGTCGCGATACCGATAGCGGATATGCATGAGTGAAGGTGAGTACTCGCCATCACATGAATCACACATTGTTAAGTAAGCAATAAATAAAAATAAAAAAATTAAAAATAAAGTCCTTTTTTTTATAACAACTAAGAGGCAAACGAGCAAGACGGGTCACCTGATGGTAAGTGATTCACCGCCGCCCACGGTTACCAGCGTTTACGCCAGTGCGTTGCCTTCTGTCAAAAATGTATTTTCGCAGACAGTCAATTTCAAACTGTTGATCGAAGATTTCAAAGATCGAAAGTAGCAGTAATTTAGTACCTACGAGTATTAGTTACAACGTATTAGACAATAAAAGGGAATTAGTTTATTTTACGATGCAATATATTTATCATTTCTTGAGAAACGACTAAAACTTTTATATCATACATTTGAATTTATGTTCAGAAATGTCTACGCCTCTACCACGCCTGTTTCTCATTGCGAGAAAACTTTCTAAAGTTTACGCTTAGAAGTTTTATTTTTGCTTCTAAAAGATTATATTTACTTCTATAATAATTTTACTCTAGAAAAAGGGGCAGGTAGTCCGATTAGGTAAACCCAACTTCGAGAGTCAGTAGGCAGATGAATCTAAATCGGCTGGGCAGCGTCCGGTAAATTAAAAAATGTGTTCTCGTCCAAAATCTCTCAGTGCCTGAAGACAAAGGTGTACAACCAATGTGTGCTACTAGTAATAACTTACGGTTCTGAGACGTGGTGCTTCATGGTGCATCTATTTATGAGGGAGCTATGCTTCATAAGTGAGCTATGGAGAGGGCTATACTTGGTATTTCTCTACGAGATCGAACCAAACATGAGGAGATCCGTAGAAGAACCAAAGTTGCTGACATAGCCCGTAGGATTAGTAAGCTGTAGTGGCAGTGGGCAGGTCACATAGCGCGAAGATCGGACGGCCGATGGGGCAGAAAGATCCTCGAATGGAGACCACGTACTAGCAAGCGCAGTGTGGGACGGTAACCTACCAGATGGACCGACGACCCGGTGAAAATCGCTGGGTCACGTTGGATGTAGGTGGCAACAGACCGGCCGCACTGGACATCAGTTGGAGAGGCCTATGTTCAGCAGTGGACAATAGACAGGCTGAGATGAGATGATGACTAATCGTTCCTCTTGCATTCGATGCAGTATTTCTTTCCTACTTACCATAGCCTATATGTATTACTATTTAACTGTTTCCCCACCTTCCTATTTTGAATACAGGTCCGGTTTTGAATATTCACAGAATTTTTCCACCTTTCGATATATTTTTGCCGCGAAACAATCGCTCGCTACGATTTAAATAAGTCACTAATATTCCAACCTCTTATCTCAAACTGGGCGGCGGCATTCTGTCCTTACTCGCCTCAACACCACAGAAGCTCTGAACTCCTTTACACTACCAATGTAGTACATTAATAATAAATCAAAATAGATGTAGGTCCACGGACTGGTATACTGTTTTAGTAGTAGTATAGGAATTGCCGCGAAGTATATATCGATTAAATTGTATGAGCCGAAAACGCGACGTTACGAATAAATCATGATAAATATTTAAAAAGATTTCCAAAACTTGCACTAATATAATGCAATATAGGGGTTCCAATCCTTATCGTCTCACAGCACCATAGTTTTGCGTGAATCAGTTTAAGACTTAAAAATATTAGAAGAACGCAGACCCATATCGGTGCGAAGAGTGTAAAAATTTAAGTTCTGAATCAAATAGCTTTGGGTATTGACTTCAAATAGGGTTTGGATGGAGTGAAGTGTAGTGAGAGCGGTAAGTTTTGCATGCAGAGTCATCATAGATACGGTGATACATTTTGTTTACTTTAGTCCGCAATCATTTACGAAAAGAATGCTTAAATGACAAGTTGAAATCTACATGATTAATTGGGCTTAATATAACTACTTCCAGAAGATAACTGAAGACACAAATTCTTATTCAATTTCTGACATTCCGAATACTACAGTTTCACTACAATCTATGATCACACAGGAAGACGTACCTACAGATATTTGTGTTTTTTCTAGGGTTATTTACTCAGAGGAAAAAACGAGAAATCTTCCATCCCAGGATTATATAGGGCCGATGTTTTGGCATCTTTTGAACCTGGACGGATAGGTATCTTTACTTCGATAAGGCAATGCGTCATGGTAATCGCCTTATTGTTGCCGCCGCTAACTACTCCCCGAATTCTGATCACGCAGGAGCCAGTCACCGTCGTCGCCCTAGACACGTCCTTACGGATCCATCGGATCCAATAACCCTTGCATTAGACGCATTCCGCTCTAACACTAGGAGTAGAGACCCCGGTAACTGTACTCGTCGAACTC